ACTAGTTAAATTGTGAATCTGTGACGCCGGAATCGTAACGGTCGCTAGATAGAGAATAATTGTCGGAATCGTAACGGTCGCTAGAGAAGAGTGGTCGCCGGAACAGTCGCCGGAGAATGTAGGTTAATTTTAGAGGAGCCTTTAATTGAGATCGTGATGGATTTTTCTAAATTTTGGTGTCTTCTCAGAAAATTTAGGTATTTCCAATTAAGATTTTAATGAAATTCAATAAAATCTTTTAAATTTAGTTATTCTCTATAAAGATTTTATTAATGGAATTATTTTAAAAGATTTGAATGAATTTCATATTAAAAAATATATATAACTAAGTCTTTTGAAATATTACCACATTTGATAAGATTCTTACCAAAATTTGTGAAAATCTATTCAAATATACGAAATTAATTAGGATTTATAATCTTTTGATATTCATCAAAATCTTACTTGAAACATCTCTTTCAGAACGTACAGGAATTGACCATGAAAGTATCGAGCATACCAGCTTTAGCTTCACGGAGAGGAAAGTTAATATCAGCAGGCTATACTTCACTCTCCTCCGTCTCTCTTTCCCACCTTGCTCAAGGTATTCACGTATGCTTGTGCGGACCGAACAATGCCCTGAAAAAAGAAGTGCAAAAAAATTATCGACGGAGCCAGGGGCGGCCGCCGGTGCTGGCTCCGCCTTCATTTTTTCGCTCAATAACCACAAAGTCAGAGGCACACAATTCAACGATGGACATTCGTGAATCCATTAGTAACCAGACTGGCATTTCTTTATTGCTCGCAAAATATTTGGTCTCGACCAAGGCCAAGGATGCAAACCTGGTGTTCTCGCCTGTGTCGATTCACATGGTGCTAGGCTTGATCGCTGCTGGGTCACAAGGTCCGACTTTAAACCAGCTTTTGAGTTTTCTCAAGTCCAAATCCATTGAAGAGCTCAATTGTGTCTCATCTCAGCTCATCAGTCTCGTCTCTGCAAACGGTGGGCCACTTGGTGGGCCCCTATTGTCCTTCGCCAACAGTGTTTGGGTTGATCGGAGTCTCAGCTTGAAGTCCACCTTTAAAGAAATTGTCGGTAGTGCTTATAAGGCTGCTGCTACACATGTTGATTTTCGGACCAAGGTTAGTTTTGCTTTTACTACAGAACTGTTGATCAAGCTGAATTTTGTGACAAAAAGTAATTGTTAACAGCTAATAGTTGGTAGTCCGAACAAACCTAGTTATTAACAAATGAAATGCAAGCAATGTTGCAATGAATTAATAAATGAAGTTGAGTTCTATTATAGCTTTAAGAATCACCTGTACTAATAAACGTGAATTTCTTGTTTCACAATTTTAGTGCAATGCACTATCAACAGCATCAAAAGCTTTCCGAGCTTTGACAACACAACATAGTAGGTCAGGCTAGGTTATGTTAGAATCTGCTAATTCTAATTTTTTTCAAATATATGTTCTGATTAGTATGTTCTTTGCTCTTGATGGTTTGAAAGGCTGTCCAGGTAACCAAAGAAGTGAACCTATGGGCTGAAAAGGAAACAAGAGGCTTTGTCAAGGAACTTCTTCCATCTGACTCTGTAAATAGTTTAACGAGGCTGATCTTTGCAAATGCAGTGTATTTTAAAGGAGCCTGGAACGTGAAGTTTGACGTTTCAAATACGAAATATGACAAATTTTTCCTCCAAAATGGGAGCTCTGTGCAAGTACCTTTCATGACCAGCGAAAATGAGCAATATATACGTGAGTTTAGCGGTTTTAAAGTTTTAAGACTTCCATACAAACAAGGTGAAGACAAGCATAAGTTCTCTCTATATGTCTTTCTTCCGGATGCCATAGATGGACTGCCAGCTTTAGTAGAAAAAGTCGGCTCTATACCTGGATTCTTAGATGATCACCTACCTTATCAACGAGTGGAAGTGGGTTACTTCCGTATTCCAAAATTTAAGATATCTTTTGGGTTCGAAGCTTCTGCAGTCCTCAATGGACTCGGACTGGTCTTACCTTTTTCAAGCAATGGACTCACTGGAATGGTAGACTCTTCCATTGGTCAAAACCTTTATGTTTCAAACATTTTCCACAAATCATTTATTGAGGTGAACGAGGAAGGTACAGAAGCAGCAGCTGCTACTGGTTGTGTACTAATGTTGGAGGGTTCACCAAGAAGGATAAGGAAAAGGGATTTTGTGGCTGACCATCCATTTCTGTTTGTTGTTAGAGAAGATATGACTGGGGTGGTACTATTTATTGGGCAAATTCATAATCCCCTCTCAGTTGATTAAAGCATCCAACCACGCTATCAAAAACAGGCCTCGTACTAATGTAATTTTACTTGCATCATTCTAATAAAGAAAGCATGGAACACTGTTAAACCTCTTAGCTTCGATTCATGTTAGTTTTGGTTGATATGTGATTTCGAATTTTGTTACACAGCAGTCTCATATTTCATTGCTCATATTTGAAAGACAGCTGTGTAAAGTCACTCACATTATCAGCCAAGTTATGGGAACCGCAGGTAGGCAAAGGAATATTAACCTCCCTAAGCAATGCTTTCAAGTTTCAGCCATGCCAATTCACGACACTAGATCCAATGCCCTATACTCGGATTCAGTGTTGGATCTTGACACTACATTTTGTTCTCTAGATGACCAAGATACAAGGCTATCACCAAACTAAACACTGTAGCCTGCCACTGACCTTTTGTCACGAGGGCAACAAGTGCAATCTGAATCAGAATATCCTGTCAATCCGAATCTTTCATTATATTTGATATGTACGCCATAATTTGTTGTCCCTCCCAAGTATCTAAGAACTCTCTTAACTGCTGGTCAGTGAGTACTCCTAGGTTCTTGTAAAAAAATTCTCAATTTGTTTATGGTGAAGGCAATATCAAGTCTCGCGTTGGCTAGATACTGTAGGGATCCAATCGTACTTCTATAAGTTGTTGGTTCCTTCATAGGTTCTCCATCAGCGACTGAGAGGTTTCCCTACTATGGAAGGAGTCGGACATGGCCTTGTGTTCTCCATGCCTGGTTTGATCAAAATGTCCTGAATATATTCTCTCTAAGCTAAATGCATACCGGCATCATCTCTAACCACTTCAATTCCTAGGAAATAATGCAGTGACCTGAGATCCTTCAATACAAATAATCTATTCAACTTTTTTACAAACTTGTCAAGTGACTCTGTGTCGTTACCTATAATTATTATGTCATCCACACAGATTAATACCATCATCTCTTCCTTTTTTTTTTTTCCCTGTTTTGAAGAAGACCAATAAAGTGTCACATCTTCAATTTACAAAGCCCCAACCAAGGAGAGTTATCTTCAACCTCTCATACCAGGCTTTAGGGGCCTTTTTCAAGCCAAAAAGTGTCTTCTCCTCTGGTTGGTAAATATAAACATTTTCTTGCAACAGTGTGGGCCAGCCACTGCCAGTCCTATCTTTAGGTCTGGGCAGCGAGCACATTTTGACATCTCTTAACTACAAATGGAGGGGCTATTGCAGTCCCAGTTAAGAAACCTACTATGGTTGAGAAAGAAAGAGGACAAAAGGCTGGGTCTGCTGCTTGCATCACTCCTTTCAAGAACTCAAAATTGATTGGAGGGTGGAAACACATCGTGTTATTTCTTCCATTTTTTTGGTCATAAAATTGTTACAATTCAAACTACATTTCAGTTACAAGTTCTTGGTAAAGTAAAGACCAAGACTAGAGTAAATTGAAGCATGAGTCAATTGAAGTGGTTACTCGTGAAGTTTTTAGGAGAAGATTCATAAGGTGCTATTCCATAATGTCTGTATAGCAGATCCCTGCTAACCCAAGTGAACATTCAAATATCTGTCACTCCTAAAGGGTTGAAGACCATATCAACAGGTCTTCCATCTTGTGATTAGGAAATCTCATCTAGGCAAGATTTTGGAAATGATACCAAAATTTTGCTACCTTGGAGAGATTCTGTGCGTACTCTCATCAGGTGGGTGATTTTACGGAGAAAATAGTGTTACTTTTTAACTCATTAGCAAGGGCTTAAAGTAAATGTTGAGCACCTGGCGACACATTTAGTTCCTCTGGTACTAAAGATTTTATGATTCCTATGACAGAATTCGTGTAAGAATCCTCCTATGGTTTAATGAAAAAAAGAAAATGGTCAAAAGGCCAGGCCTTCTGCTCACATCACTCCTTTCAAGATCTCGAAGTTGACTGGAAAACCATCATCCTGTTTGTTCCTTCTTTGGTCATACAATTTTGCAATTTTAACACCATTTCTTGTTCCTAGTAAACAAATTTGTGTTTCGAACAAGCTCACGGAAGCTTTATAAATGCTTTCAATGTCAATGATTACATCCATGTCTATTCCTTGCAGTTCAGCGACACTGGAATACAATTTTCTCTTTACCGCCTACTGTTGCACTGATAGTTGGAACACCTCTAGAAAACACGCAGGAAGCCAGGCAATCAGCCGAGTAGAGAGGACTTCCACGGTTGATACTTTTCCAATGCGGAAAGTGACAGTAGAAAAGAGGAGTTTCACAGTCATCCTCTAAGAATGAGCAAGTATATAATATATTCCTGCTAGATTTCTCTGAAAAACCATAGGTCCCTCATTTACATTGTCAAAAGTACACACTAGTAAATCACTCTGGTATGTATGATAGGCAGATTTTTCGTGTTCACTCATCTTTAACGTTCAAGGGGAGAAAAAAGGGACGGTTGTAACCTGCACAGGAAGGGAGTAGATTGGAAACTGTGGGAACTGAGATTTTCTGGGACATTTTAAATACACTGAAGTACTCCCGTGCTGTCTGCTTTTTAACTTAGAGATATATTGCAGTTTACTAGCAAAGAAGTGTCGTGGCATTTGAAATTGGCCTGTTGTATGAACATGGATATATGAAAGAGCATGTTTGGCAAGACTTTTAAAATGTCAAAAATAAATTATGAGGTTAAAAAGTTACTTTTGAACATGTTTGAATTATTTTCCAAACGGTAATTTTTGAGATGTAACCACAAATCTTAATATGATATCAAAGCATGTTAAGCTCTAACGAACAATTTGATCCAATTAAGACTCAAAAAAATTGAGCATGCGGATTTCAAGATTGGTCCTCTCAAACGAGACACCATCTTACAGGAGCATATCAAGGGATAAAATCTCACATCAAATAAAGCTAAAAACATAAACCAATTTATAAGAGTTTGTACTATTCATCTCAATAAAGTTGACCTTTTAAGATGTACTCATCTTAATAAGGTTGACATTTTAAAATGGAACCACAAATCTTAACATGGTATTAGAGCCATTAAACTCCAACGAGCAATTCAATCAGATTAAAACTAAAAAAAATGAGCAGACAAATTTCAAGATTGATCTGCTCAAATGAGCCACCATCTTGTGGGGGTATGTCGAGAGATAGAATCTCACTTAAAATAAAGATGAAAATATAAACTAACTTATAAAGGATTGAGTTACTTTTCTTAATAAGGTTGACCTTTTAAAATAGAACCCCAAATCTTAACAGCAATTTGTGTGGCTAGAAGAAATTTTAAAGGAAGCTGACCTAAGAAAAGTAAATGTCTTGCCAAACGGGATCGAAGTAATTGAATATGACATTATGACACCGATAATCTGATATGGGTCTTGGTCAGTCGATGGGAATCTTTGATGCCCACTTATTAATTATAGCGCGTTATTTTTTGACAAGCATGTTGATTTTCCTATATCCTTTCAATTTTATCAATATCCCAAAGAGGACCGATGTGTTGATGAATTTTCCTTAGACCGGACAGTGGACCATACTTTCCACATGTATATGTTGAAATTATTAGTTGACATCTAAACTTTTGGACCAACGAGTGGACTTCGAACACTATTTTGGCTTGTGATACAGATGGATTAGTCTAACAAATTTAAATGAAATCATTGTTAAGGGATAAAATTCCACATCGAATAAAGATGTAAACATAAACTAACTTATAAAGGATTTGATTACTTTTCTTAGTAAGATTAACATTTTAAGATGGAACCTCAATTCTTAAAATGGTATTAGAGCCCATTAAGTTCTAACGAGCAATTCAATTCGATTAAGACTCCAAAAGTGAGCATACGAATTTCAAGATTGGTTTGCTCAAACAAGCCATCATCTTGTAGGGGCATGTTAAGAGATAGAATCCCACATCGAATAAAAATATAAATATAAACCAATTTATAAATGATTGTGTTACTTCTCTTAATAAGGACTTTTTAAGATGGAACCCTAATTCTTAACAGTCATAAGGTTGGTGGGAATGAAAATATTTCTTCACGGTTTGCAAATCTTCATGATTATTTTGTCCACCAATTCACCAACAATATAGATGGTAGACTAGCCCAAAGGTCTAAATACACGACGATTTCTACATGAAATAAATTTATCGTGAATACGGAGAATTCTTACTCGCTTTCTCATAATAATAAGAAAAGCATGTTACTTTTTCAATCAAGAATTATTGAATTAAATGACTAGAATGTTTATAAATTAATAAATAAGAAGTTGAGTTCGTGGATATTTTGATTATGAGGAATGCTATATAGCACCACTCCATGAGTGTTGAATACAAGTCTCCATGGCACGGAAGTGTTAACTAAATGATAGATTCGAATAAATGTCAAAGATATGAAACTTTTTGTATAATTTAAGTGAGATAGAGGAGGAATATATGATGTGAATTAAGATATTACTCCCCCGTTTGTTCTAGTTAAAAATTGAATTGAAATTTAAGTCAAATTCAATAATTAATTTTAACCGCACATCTAATAGAACCCACAACTTTTCAACTACACGTTCCATCAACTTTTATTAAAATTTACTAATTGTCTAATTTTTATGTAAACCAAGCAGGGGCTATATTTTAACTCGAGACTGAAAAAGACCGGGAAGATAAAATGATACGAGCTCAAAAGACGAGGAAGATAACGTAGTATATTCTAAATTTACATTCATAGTTTACAAGATATAATCCAAAACTAGTGGTTTCTAATCTTGACTAGTACCAAGTAAAAACTGCTGAAAAGTTACTCAGAAAGCCAATCCAGATTGAAGCGCTCTTCAACAACCTGAACACAAAGGCCTGGTATAACCTTCTCCACATCTTTCCACAGCCAAGAGACCTCTTCGTCACAAATAACACGCCGCAAAGAATGCAATGACACCACAGACAAAGGCAAATTCTTGATCCGTGGACACTTTCTCATGTCAATCTTCTCCAGGTTTGTGCATCCACCAATTCCCTCAGGAAGGCAT